GTCACCTACTCTGCAATCAAGCATGGGAAGTAGCCCTCCTCTCTAACTGCGCTTGTGCCCTTTGACCCACTTCTCCTCATGCCCCTCCCTACTCGCCCCTGCTCACCCTCAGCTCCTCTCTGGTGCAGGGAACCTGGTGGGGCCCACAGCTCACAGACCTTCCATTTGCCATGCTGCCCCATCTCGCGATAGAAGGAAAAGCCACCAGCACTGGAATGCCAGTTTTCGAGTGCAAGCCTGGCTGTCCTCTGTGTGTTTTAAAACAGAGCGAAGGAAAACACTTAGGTTACGCGTTTTCTCAACATCAGGGCATTATCGAGTGGGAACAAGGTACCCTCAGTAGGGAGGAATCCACACATCGAGTGAGGTCACCATCACCTCCTTGTATCTGAATTTAAGACACTTGTGAGTAGAATAGTTATTTTTTAAATTTATTTCAAGAAAATATGAGAATACAAATATTTTAGCAGGATAATTATTTTGAGTTTTGTGATCACTGCACGGTTTCCCTGACTTTTTTATGAAGAAAGTATAAAATATTAATATTGTTCCAGTTTACAGATGAAGATCAATGCAATGATTGGTATTCCAAAGTTGCAGAGATGGTGTGTGTGTGTGTGTGTGTGTGTGTGTGTGTGTGTGTGTGTGTTTACTGTGACGGCTTCTTTGCAGACCATCCTGGCAAAAAAATCCTTATATTTTGATCTTGGAATGCCTTTCCTGTACAGAGCTCACCAAACTTACACAGAGGCCTGCCAATGGATGATATTTCATATAAGAAAAGGAAAAGGATGAAACAGAGGGATATAAGAAAAGAAAGAATCATAGAATTTTAGATGTAGCATAATTACTAGCTCCCACCCTGTGTTTTACACATAAGAAAACTGAGTCACAGATGTGAAGTGTTTTTTTTTCCCCCCCAAAGCTTGAAAGAATAGAATGGAGCCCAGTTCTTCTGAAATTCAGTCCCCTTGGGGAATGATTATCAATGGAAACCCTTGGAAAAGCCACCAATCTCCAGTATGCCTGCAGTCACTGAAGGCAGGTAAACACTTACCTGTGTTTTCATTGCAATATTTAGTGTTGGAGAAGCGATCGCTGACCAGCAGCATCAGACTGCACTGATAGCTATTCCGAGCATCTCTGCTCTGGGTGTTCTTTACCGCAGGAGGAAAACATTATTAATGAACATTCAGAATGTCACTTCACCTAGTTCCAGACGAGCTTTTCAAGCTTGCTAGTGCTCCACCAGCCTTGGGAAAGAGCCAGGTGTGCGGCAGCCTTTCAAGCTGATCTTAAAAGTTACAGTCGATAAAACCTGTGGCTTTCCCACATGGATTCCTGCTGGATTCACCTTGAGACAATCGGGGAGACATTGATGGAATGTGTTTCTTTCCCTTACCGGAATCCAGTTGGTAACTCTTAAAATATGGATCAGAACAGATGGAAATGCCTTTCTCCATCTGGGCTTATTCTTTGCTTCTCTTCCTTTTCAGAGATCGACTGGATCTCTGGATCCCAAAGGGAAAATGGCATTTCTGAGATCGACTACCTATCAGGCACTGTGCATACATGTATCATGTGGTTTTTCCAACAAGTCTTTGGGGGAGATATCATTATCTACATTTCGGACAAGGAAACTTATACTTCAATTAAGTTGGTTTTTTTTTAAGTTCCCTTGTCTAGAAAATGGCAGATATGGGATTCAATGTATATATATACACTATATATATATGTATATATATATACACACACACACATACACACATATGTGAAAGGTACTAATTTATGTAAAAATGGTAAATTATTTAGCATTTCCTTATAAATCCAGTGAATAAGAATAAGTTATAAGAATCTGGATTTACATAAACAAACAGTTGCAAATGCTCATAGGTTCTTTTTTTTTTCTTTAATTCCCTAGCAAGTGATCTATCATGGGAATGTTCCATGTGCACTTGACAAGAATGTGTATTCCACTGCTATTGAGTGATGTGTCCTGTACATGTCTGATTCTCTGTTCTTCTATAAAGCAGCACCTGGAGCACAGAGGCCAGTGTCTGTGAGGACCCTGGAGTCCAGGTACACAAGCTCTTCAGTCTGGCAGGGGCAAGAGGGTGGTTTTTAAATGTTGATGCAGCAAAAGGCCTGACTGTGATTCACTTTCTGGCTCTCCCTTAGTAAAATGTGACCTCCTGCAAATTGCTCGATTTCTCAAAGCCACCACCATGTCCTCGTCTTTGGAAGTGGGGTAATAAACACAGCCATGGTATCGAAGAGGCTATGTGTAAAATGCCTGTGCAAATGCTAAATGGTTGTTTTGACTTCTGCTTTTATTCCAGAAGTTTTCTCATACTTCTTGTTCTCCCAAGATAGGAATTGCATCAAGGGAAACTTGAATCACACTGACCCCTCTATGAAGGAAAGGATTTTCTTTCATTCTTTAGTTGCCTTAGGTTTTTTTTTTTTTTTTGCATATTACATTAAACAAGCCAAACAATGTCACGTGTAGCCATCATGACAACATACCATATTCTGTAAGATTTTCACACATCTAGCTAATTACCATTCTCATTTGTGCATCATTTTAATTTCTAATTTTACCCCAAGTATCACATACATATTTTCTGTACGTACATATCTGTACGTACATATTTTCACGTACATATCTTCTGACAATGTCACTTAAAATGCACTCTCCCTCTTCCTTTGCTGCTTGTTTCAGATGTTTATGTTGGTCATCTCTCCAACTGAGTCTTAAATTAGTTGCTACCTGAGTTTAGGGATGTCGTGATCCTTTCCAGCACACCATGGCTTCTTTGCTTTCTAATCATTGCACTGGTCAACTTTCTGGCTGGTTCTGAGTGCCAGTAGCATTGCTAATGTTGCTTAGCCAGGTTGTGAGGCTGTGGAGGGTGTGACGCCCAGGTAGGGAAGTGGGGTCAAAACCTGAGCACAGAAGTTCAATGTTCCAAGCCTCAGAGGCCAGTGCAGAGAAGCAGCCGCAGGGCTGCCCGGTGTGGAGTCCTGTAGTCCCGGACTCCACTTTAACCCCATTTCCTTATCTCTGCTCTAAGTAACACAGGCTAGAATTCTGATACAGACCAAGGCTCTCACAATCATTTAAAACATCAGAGTGTGGGGTGGAGGCCTGCTGTAGCCAAACGCTTGGCGTCATGTACAGCCGGATTACATGAAAAGTGCAGAGTGCTCTGGAGGGGCTTCCAAAAACAGGTTGGGAGAGAGATAAGACCCAGGGACCACGGATCTCTCTGCAGACGCCAAACAAGAAATGCTTGACACTAGATGGCAGCAGTGCCCCATGTTTTCTTTCCAAATTAAACCAGCTATTATGAGATCCTGGGGGGGTGGGAATCACAGAATTAACACACAAATGCAACCGTATCACAAAATCGGCCTATTTTATTTGACAGCTGTTTCCCACCCTCCTCGTATTTATGATCTAGAAACAATTTGGTGTGAGTCATTGTAACTCTCTAATATATGATCTGGCCACAGAAAATGCCCCATATAAATAACACCCAAAACGAGTGGTTCCTGGGTATTGAGACCACTAATTCTCAATGATTTAGATCAAATAGATTATTTGCACTCTGGAGAAAAGAGGTGGCATGAATTTTTTTTTTTCAGCAGAACACAAGGAAAGGAAAGTTCAGCCTGGAACAGGGAGCCTGGAGCCTGCCACCATGTGTGGAGGTGCTCAGTTTCTCAGGTGATGACTCGTGTGGAGGTGCTCAGTTTCTCAGGTGATGACTCGTGTGGAGGTGCTCAGTTTCTCAGGTGATGACTCGTGTGGAGGTGCTCAGTTTCTCAGGTGATGACTCGTGTGGAGGTGTTCAGTTTCTCAGGTGATGACTCGTGTGGAGGTGTTCAGTTTCTCAGGTGATGACTCGTGTGGAGGTGCTCAGTTTCTCAGGTGATGACTCGTGTGGAGGTGCTCAGTTTCTCAGGTGATGACTCGTGTGGAGGTGCTCAGTTTCTCAGGTGATGACTCGTGTGGAGGTGCTCAGTTTCTCAGGTGATAACTCGTGTGGAGGTGCTCAGTTTCTCAGGTGACAACTCGTGTGGAGGTGCTCAGTTTCTCAGGTGATAACTCGTGTGGAGGTGTTCAGTTTCTCAGGTGATAACTCGTGTGGAGGTGCTCAGTTTCTCAGGTGATAACTCGTGTGGAGGTGCTCAGTTTCTCAGGTGATAACTCGTGTGGAGGTGCTCAGTTTCTCAGGTGACAACTCGTGTGGAGGTGCTCAGTTTCTCAGGTGACAACTCAATGTTTCCGAATGGGACCCTGACAGGGTGAAAATCACACATGAGTCCCGGCCCAGCAGGGTTAGATTTTGGAAATGTTTTCTAATGGCAGAAATCCTTCTTGGTGACACGAGTCATTAGGAATGGCAGTGCAAACACAAGACACCATTTCTCAAGGAGAAGTCAGCTCTTTAGCTCCTGAAAGAGATCAATTTTTCCTGATGAGGAGCTCGAAATGAACTATTGGAGCACTTAATGGGTCTTGAAAAGCATTTTTGTTCACTTGCTGAGTTACAGATACCCTCTAGGGTCTGATTTGAAGTCACAGAGGGGGTGACCCTCCCTTTCACAAGCTTAGTTCAGCCTCAAGAACAGAACTCAGCGTCTCACTGGGAATTTCCTGGTGATTAAGGCTCTGAGCCTCCACAGTCTCCCTCCAGGGCCAGCCACCGCCAGCTAGAGCTCGGCACCGTGGAAGCCAATCATATGTAGGACTGCAACTCTCCCGTGAAGCAGTTCTGCTCTCGTATCTGGAAGGTCCTGTCTCTACGAGAGAGGAGAGTTTGGGTAGTGGCTCCAGTTGCTCCCAGTAGGTTCCGAAGGGACCAAAAAGGTCATGCTTTGGTGCTTACATTCCAAGATTGTAGTCTTTCACTTGGTGGATCCACAATAACATTCTTATGTGGCCCAGAGACCACAGGGGTGGAGGGGGGAATCTAAGAAAATTAAAGGAGGGATATCAAACATTATGAAGCTATCAATTTATTTAATTCCCCAAACAGGCTGAGATGAAATGGAGATGCAGTGAGCATTGAGCAATTGCCAAAAATGGGCTCTCCATTCTACCACTCATTCACTGACAAGCACGATACAGTATTTAGTGTATTACAGTATTTAATGTCTCCAAGAGAGGAATATAATCCTCTTTTATTACGTTGTGGGATTTCCACATCCTGGTCCCTGCAGGCCTTCAAAAAGACTAAACCTTTTTGGTCAAGAATGGGGAATTCTTTAAATGTCCCTTTGTGAAAACTAGCATTCACTTATTTGGATTTTCTATTATCGTACCACTTTTCCCTAAAATGTCTTGCTTTACACATTCCCCAGAAATTGAAGGAATACCTCCTCTATTTGGGGAGCTGGGTGGAATCCAGTTTATTGTAGCAACCACTGCTATCGTAGAGCTCTATTCTCTCTCTGCTGGCGTCATCCTTGTGCAGAATAAGGGAACGCCTCTGTCTCCCCTCTCTTAAGGCCCCTTCCCAACGCATTGGATTATATATATAGTTTCACTGGAAGGTGTGACAACAAACCAGTTCTCATAATCAGACTATAGTATTAATTCTAGAGACTCTTCCTTACTTTGAATTTCGATTGAACCTGGAGTGTATGCATGGATAACCCTAACACAACCTGAAGTCAAGAAATTCATAAATTTGTGTAACTCCTTGCAAATAGTCTTTTTGTTAATTCCCCCCTCCAAAAAAGTGTGTGTGTGTGTGTGTGTGTATTCTCTCTCTCTCTCTGTCTCTCTCTCTCTCTCTCTCTCCCTGGGAATTAGAGGTTGTGCCCTTTCTCTTTCCACCTGCATTTCTGTTCTAAGTTATGCAGGGGCTTCTCTGGGCAGCAAAAAGCGAGATCAGTAGATGGAGGCCGGCCTCTGCCCTTGCAGACACCCCCTAGTTTGCTCGAGTTGCCCGATTGCATTGTTTCTGCCCTGTGTGCCCAACAAGTCGTCTTCTTCCAGCCTGCGCGCCCAGGCGCTGGAGGCCCAGCGGAGCGCAGTCCGGTGCGGGGAGCCCGAGGGCCAGCGGCTGGGCTCTGTCTGGGATTGCGCGGTGCCCAGCTTCGTTCCCCTCTCTGTGGGTAGGGATGGTTGAGTCCAGCCGCCACGGCAGCGGCTCCTTGTGCCGCTAGCAGCCTGTCTTGTGCGCTCTCCGCCTTTTTCTCTCTAGACCGAATCTCTCCTCCCCCCGCGCCCCCCTCCCCGCATCTCCCACTCGTTGGCTCTCTCTCCAGCTGCCTCATCTCCAGGTCTCTCCTGGCTGCGCGCGCTCCTCTCCCCGCCTCGCCCCCTCCCGCAGCCTCGCTGCCTTGGTGCCTTCCTGCCCGGCTCGGCCGGCGTTCGTCCCCGGCCCGGCCCCGCCAGCCGGGTCCCCGCGCTCGGAGAGGCTCAGCCCTGCAGTGGCTCGGGACCCGATGCTATGAAAGGCAAGCGAGCCGGGCGCCCAGACCTGCAGGAGGCGTCGGATGCGCGGCGGGTCTCGGGACCCGGCTCCCTCTCCGGCTCGCCTCGCCCTCTGGTGATCATTTGGCTCTGCTCGTAGCCCTGCCGTTCTTCGGAGGAGACCCGCGCATCTGAGGAGAGCCATCGCGCCGTGCGCCTGTGGAGTATCTGCAGACATGACTGCGCGGAGGAGCTGCGAGCCGCTGTCCCTGCTCCTGGTGCCGCTGGTTCTGTGCGCGGCGCTCCTCACTGCAGCCAAGGGTAAGACAGGCTCGCTCCCCGCCGGGGGAGACCGCGCGCCCGCGGAGGCCCCGTGCGAACGCAAGTGTCTGCGTTGGGGACGGCAGGGGACAGAGGAGCTGGCATCCGCCGGGCGGTTGGTTCTCCATCGCCGACGCCCGGGGAACGCGACGCCCGGGAGAGGAGCTTCCATCGCGCTCTTCCAGCCCTCCTCTGCCCCCGCCCCACCCCCGCCATTCCTGCCCCTCACTTGGGCTAAAATGAGATGTCTCCCTTTTCTCGGTGCCGTGGGCTGTCGGGAGAAAGGAGCCAAAGGCGAGGTGGGCTGAAACTGCGCTCTGGCGGGGCGGTGTTGCCTCCTCCGAGACACGGGCACCGCGGGTCGGGGCTGCTGGGGGTGGTGCCCACGACTTTCTCCCCGGACCCTCCGGCCTTGCAAGTTCGGGCTCTCTAGGGAGGGGGTCGGTACCTACCCGCAAAGCTCCCTGCCGGCTGCCTCCCCGCACCCATGCGGCCCCGTTCCCCTGTTCCTCCTTCCCTCTCCAACTACTCGGCAAGCGATGAGTAGCTGCCTCTGCGAGGTCGCCCCCCTCTCCTCTCCCCCGACTTCGCTCCTTCCAAGTTGTAGGTGCTGGCGAGGTGCGGGGAGCAGGCGGGGAGTCCTGGACCAGCGTCCACGTCAGAGGTAGCACTGTGGGCGCGGGGTCAGTCCCTGTCCACCCCGTCAGGGGAGGAGTCCCTCTGAGTGGCTCCTGGGGCGCGGGCTCTGTGATCCTAGTTTTCTCCTTGACTGAGTTGGGGAATGTTTTCTCCTAAGGAGCCTACAGGCTGCAGCCTCCAGGCAGCAAGAGCTCCTGCACTTGTCCATTCTCTGGAAAGGAAAACAAGCCCCCTTGAGAGAGAGAATATTGATTGATTTTCACATTGGAAAGTGCCTGCCCTCCTTTCCTCATTCTCAGCCACCCTGGGCGCTTCCTCTATCAATCAGCACTCCATCGCCAGACTCTACTGGGAACATTAATATCTACATAGATTTTTTTCCTTTTCCTTTTTGAAGGATGGAGTCAATTCCTGTGATTTTTAATGGTCATTTGCTCTCTCCTTACATAAAAGTCCCCTTTCGTCTCTAGATTCTTCCATTTTCTTTTTCACTCACTTCTTGTCCCTCCGGTGGTCCAGATTCGCGGGTGATTGACAGGGCGAAGGAGGGCTGTGTCTGGCCCATTAGGAAACTCTGGATCGGCCTGGAGACAGGAGGAGACATTTGCAGGCTGGGCTTCTCCTCCCGGCCGCTCCTCCCCCCTGGCCGTCCAGAGTGGACAGGAGCTGACCGCTGGGCGCCAGCCCCTCCACACAGGCATCCGCCCTGCCTCGCAAAGGGGGGTCTGCGGGAATGCCTGGGGAGCGCAAGCAGTGGGTCTTAGTCGCCCAAGCTCATGGTCACTCGGGATCCGGGAGCTTCCCACAGATACTGACCCTCTCCTGTCTGCTCGGCTGGGACCAGATGCCCTGCCCGGACCGTGGTGCTGACACCACCGGTGTAAGAAGCTGGCCGTGCAGGACCCGGCTGGCAGCGGCCTCCAGCCGCCCTGAACTAGCTGGGAATTGAGAGACGAAGCAGGAAAAGTCAGGGCAAAGAGGACTGTGCCCTGGGACGTGTGCACGGTGTGCGTAGCGGGGCGCAGAGGCCAGACCCGTGGGCAGAACCCAGATCGTTCAGCTAAGCCTCTGTGTGGAGAGGAAACACCTGCCACGCAACTCCGCAAAACTTCCCGCCCTTTCCCCTGTACTCAAAGCCCATCTGGGTCCCCCGCTGCCCCTGTTTCAGGAAGACAACTCAGCTTCTGAGCGCACTTTCGGTTCCCCCGAGTTCCGCACGCTCCGAGCTCCCTTCCCCCGCAATTAGCAGAGGTTGCTGCGTGGAGACGGCGGCAGCCCTGGCTCTGCTGCTTAATAATCCGCACACGTGTGTGCCGGGCGGATTCCGCCCCCACGCGGGTGGGCTGCTGCGCTAGGCGGAGGCGGAGCGAGGGTGTGGAGGTGCGGGCTGTGGGCGGAGGCTGCTCTGGCTGATCCTGGGGCAAAGGGGGCAGGGGGCGCAAAGTCCCGGGCGCCCCTGGGCCCTGGCGGGCAGCGCCAGGAAAGAGAGCGCCTCTGGCGCGCTGCAGGCCACAGATCCAGGCTTTAGAAGCCAAGGAGTAGAGCCCAGTGTCCCAGGCCCCTCGCGTGCACGGTGCTGGAGTGGTGTGTGTGTGTGTGTGTGCATTCGTGTGTGCACGTGCGGAGGGGGACCAGTACGCTGGGACGCCATGCTCACTGCGCTATTGTCTGGCCCCCATGGCGGTGAGTGAGCGTTGCTTCTTAATTAACCCGAGCAGGTCCCAGGGTCCTGTCTCCTCCACGCCCCCGGGGTCAAGTGCATGCGCATATGGCCGCGTGGGAAGGGGCTGTCTGCAGGCAGGAGGCTGGTGACGCCAGCACCGGAGTCGCTATGCGTGCGCCCTAGCAACTGGGGCGGGGTCGCATTCCCCTTGCGGAGCAAAGCCCAGGTGGCCTAAGTCTGGTCTCCGCCTGGGGACGTCGGCTCTGGGCTCAACCACTAGCTCCCTGGGCGACTCTGCGGCGCCTGCGCGCAGTAGGGCTTTCCCAAGGAGGGGCGCTTAGGAGGGAGGGCGCCGGGCCAGCGCCACCGGCAGCTGCGCTGCGCGCCCAGGTGGCGGCTCCCGCTGTGGCGAAGGCAGGCACAGAGTTTTTGGTGCGTGGGGTGTAATTCGTGACCTGTTTGCGGAGTCGTGAGGCTGTAGGCGGCCGCTGTTGAGGTCACTGGAAGCCGTTACCTTTGGTACTCGAATTTCAGCTTCAATGGATGGTGCTATATACTCTTCAGTGAAACGTTGGGGACAGCAGGAATTCACTGTTGATTTCCTTTTTCTTCTTGATTATTAATGGTATTATAAAGGTTATGTCCAAAATGTGCGTCTCTATTTAAATGCACATTTTCACGGACCGCGGGAGAAAACATTTTCATCTAGTAAAGAGGTGGGGTAATTCGTTCCTTGAGCCATTGCTCAGATCTGAGCCCTTAATCTGGGGCTGATCTTCCGGTTGTTTGGACAAAGTTTGCCCTCCGTGTTTCTTGCATATGTGCAGAGACCGGAATGCAGGTATTTGCATTCAATTAGTTACCCAGAGAGCGTCCCAAAACGGAGCACGTATGACACCAGGAGCCCAGACCAGGTCTCATTTTAGGAAGCCTGGAAGAGAAAGGTGGAGTGTTCATGAAATTTAGCAATCCTAACATTCATTCGCCAACCCATCCAGCAGAGATTTAAGCACAGTTTGCTGAATTTCCACAGAAAGCATGCAACTCAGTAGCAAAAGAGAGAGGCCCTCCCATGTCTGCATGCTTCTGGTTGAGTTCCCTTTTTAAAAATCCATATCGCCAAGAAGGATGTTAAGACCTTTAATTTGCTGATCAAATTCCTTTAGGGCTGGGCGGCATCCCATGTATTATACTTTCTTCTAAATGAAGCCAGGAAACTCCTGTGAATAAAGAGCTTTCACAGAAAACTCCTAATCCATCATGCCCACAAAGGTGGACCACTTAAAATGAAGTTAGTATCTCTTTATTCGTGATTTACTTAGCAGATCATGTCTTTTTCATTGCATTGTCAAAGGTATTATTATTATTGCAATTCAGAATTGTTCAGCTAAAAGCTTTCCAGTGCTTCTAGGGCACCCATGTAGTTAGTAAATTTGGGATTTTTTTTAAGTCCTTGAAAAGGTAAGCACCACCCAGTCTTTCTTTGGAAGTAACAGGCTTTGTCAATTGTAGGGCAATGAGGTCTCATCAAATGAGTCCAGAGAAGCAAACAGCAGGTGATAGAGGAGGAGTGGAATTCCCCAGGGGCTGAAGCATCTTGCTGGCAGGGGCCTCCTGAGGAAAGGGAAGGGCTGTGTGAGCACTGGCTTTCTGCTGGCAGGTCAAGCTAGATAAGACCGCCACAGACATGGTACTTCCACGGTCCTAGAGGCAAAAACAGCTCCTCCTGGGGGCAATGCTTCCTTAGTCTCCAATTTATTTTCTGGAACACACACCAACACAGCTTTGAAAATGTCAAGAAAACAGTTCTGCTTCCTTTAAGAAATAGATAAACAAAAGCTTGGTGGCTGGTTAGTGCTTATTGCAGAAGATAGACAGCAAATCCAGTGTAGACATTTCTAAGCTGTCAAAATGCAAATGGCATATTAAATACTCTGTATTCCACTGAATGCTGAATTTGCCTCTGGTAGTTTTTCTGCTGAGCTCATAGTGAATATAAGCCATTACAACTCTCATACATGCAATTTAAGCTACACTTTCCCTTTGGCCTTTTTTATTTCTTCTGATTATGTTCATTTCCCTCTATAAGATAATCAAAGAGTCACACGGGCAGCCCTTGCACACAGTGGACGGCAAAGACATGTCTTCTTATACTTTAACTTTATTTGATTAGCCAATAAATCACAAGAAGATATCTGAGTGCAGGCATAGATAGTCTACCCTCTGTATTTGCATTTTTGGGTTGCATGGGGATATTAAAAGTCTTCTGGCACCTATGCTGGGAAGAGTAGGAGCTTAGACTGCAAGACCAGGAGTGGTAATGATTAAGTCAAACCAGTCTGACTCTGTGGTCTGGCCACCATAGCAACGAGAGGCAGATTTTTTTTTTTTTTTTTTTTTTTTACAACTGTAGAACTGGCCTGGCCTGGATACGCAACCTGAGGCAAAGAAATAGATGTTTTGGCTGTGCTAAAATGAATTAATCCTAAAGGAACTCAACCTTCTTACTTTGCTTTCAATTGCACAGCCACTGTGCTTAGCCTATTGGTTGTCCATTCCAAAACAAACTATTACTATAAAAATAAAATAATCATATTTAAGTATTTATGCCCAAATACAAAGAAATAAGTTTTTTCCACAATGACTTTAAAATGACCTTAAATGATCTTTGATTAACTTTCAGTTCTCTAGGGTGGAC